TTAGACCTTACAAGTTTAATAAGGTGTCAATCATTGTTGATACAAAGTAGCTGCTTCAGCTCCCAAAATGTTTGACATATTTGTTTCACTTTTATCATAGATGTCACAATCTGCATTGGTATCTGAAGAAGAAGTAATTATACCAAGAAGAAAAAAGAAGGACCATTTGGCGGTTTTGAGGGCATTGGCTTCAACTGTTGGTAAGGACCCAACGTCCAAGCCGTATGTATTTCACGATGACCCCTATCTTTTGCCAAGAACAGCCGGACAACAACAGATGTATTCACTATCAGCAGAGGCTGGCAAAAAAGCAGCTCGATATGTCTTGAGTAAATATCCAGAAAATTTCCAGGCAATAACACACGATGAACCAAAAATTGAATGCTTGTACCCTAAGATTGATGGTTATGTAATCGAAAATGCCTGCGAGGAGGGTATTTTAGAAAGAGTTAACAACAGGGATGTGAAAGCTGCAATGGAAATGCACTGTAACATGATGGAACAAGGGATGGAAGTGAATTTAGAAACAAACAACTTGCTACTTGATTTGTTGTGTTTTTATGGTGGAAAAGAGGCTCCAAAAGAGTTTGAAGACACAGCACAAGTCATTACTGAAGAAGTAGACGATGACAACGTTGTAGAACCCGAAATAAAACCACAGAGAAGGAGAGGTGGAAGAATGTCAAAGTTTGTAAAGGAAGTGATGTGGGAAGATGGTAACTATGCCGATAAGTTATTCAGTGTGATGCAGCAAAGGGACTCAAACAGTTACTGTAGTATGGTGCGGGGAATGGTGAAGCACAGAGCGCAAGCCAAAGCTTTTGAGCTGTATAACGAAATGCAAGATAAAGGCATCAAAGTTGATATTGATACATATCATGCCCTTATCCAAGGTTCTGTAGCTATCAGAGAATCGTACTGGGATCGATGGCAAATCGTACTACAACTCTTAAAACAAATGAAAGTGGAAGGCATTAAACCTACTTTAGCTACTTTTAATTCTGTCCTGATAGCGCAAGGCAAGATGGGTGCCATTGGTCGCACCATGTCTCTGCAAACACTGAGTGAGATGAAAGCACTTGACATTGAGCCGAATCTAGCCATCTATTCGCAGCTCTTGTCTATATTCTATAAGCCAAACCTGCCATTAACAGACATGCTGTATGACATTATGGATGAAATTGAAGATAAATGCTTTGTAATTCATTATCCGAATGATACCAGATTCTTTCTTGATGCCATGAGTGTTTGTCAGACATTACGTGATGTACAACTTGCCCATAAAGTCAATAGATTAGTTAATATTGGTGAAAATTACAAGTTACTTGGTAACAATAGTATGAGATATACATACTATACTAAATTATTCAATCTTGTATGCCAACTTGATACTCCTGATAATATACTAGATTTTTATCAAACACATGTGCCATCTTACGTTGTTCCAAATATCGGAGGAATGCAAAATTTATTACAAGCGGTGGAGACATATGATATGATAGATAAACTCGCTGATATTTGGGAAGATATTAAAAACTTTGAACTAATGAACAGACAACAGGTGATAGATCAGGTGTTGTATTTAATGGCAAAAGACACGCATAAACAGGAACATCAGCAGGCATTTTCCGACATCACGATGGAAATAAGCAAGATTATAGCTGATTCCAGCAAACGAAGAGATCGTCTTGTTTGGAGTACCACTTCAATTGGTTACGCTGTACATGTGAATCTTAAAGCTAAACAGCTTGATAGAGCTTGGGAAACTATGAGATTGTATCCAATACATCAAAGAGTTCCGAGTTCTACTGTTGCTGATGAATTTCTCGCCGCATGTATTGAGATGAAAGATACACAGAAAGTATTGGGACTGGTGGAAATCATAGCAGATAGTGGAATGGTAACCATAGCAACTTATGTGGAAAAGATCAAACAGAATCTTCGCCTCTCAGAAGATGAGGAGAAAAAGTTAGATGACATTGTCAAAGATGAACTCTAAGTAGTGCATGCATTGTTTCAAGTTTGTTAGAATATTGCATCAAAATATTTGCCTGAACAATTGTCCTTTAACTGAAATGGTTAAATATTGACATCTCCAGACTTGAAATATTTGATGAATTGTATAATGTATTTCTCCAGCATACAATTCATGATACTGTTTGTACTAACAATGTGTCAGTATACTAGTAAGTAGTGGCTTAAGCGAACAATGACCTTTACCCTTTGAGAGCCATACATTTCCCCCCAGAATTTTTTGCTGCAAACAAGTCTGAATGCCAAAATCTCAATTTTTGTTATCAAAAGGGTTAACACACATCTGACTGGATTTGTCAACCAATTACAGCGAGCATTCCTTACTAGAAACTGAACTTGCATCAAAATTTGTCAGATATAGTTGGGGGCACACTGATTAACTGTATATTAAAAAATGCAAATTTTGTTTTTAATTGTTGAAATAAATACATAGCACCACAATGAGTTTTTATTTCCTTATTCAGAAAGACTCCATAATAAATACTGTGCAAGAAAATAACTACAACTAAATTACTGTCATAATTCGAGAAACCTTCCTTTGTTGCGAAAAGTCAAACAAATTATATAAACCACTTGTTTAGTAATTGGTAAAAAAAATACTAATTTGAATATTTTGTATGCAGCCCTCGTGCACAAAGCTTGATTCAACCGTTACCATGCATACAGCAAACTATGAAAAGGAACACTGTATTAGCTCTATTTAGAAGCACAGTTAAAAATTGTATTCTGGATCATTGAAATATATATTTTAAGCAAAAACCCAACTCATTTACCTAAGTGAATATGATATTAATATTTGTCTTCTTTCTCAGGAAACTTAATTATTTTCAAATACGACTTTTTTTTTAACACCATTTCACAATGTTTAATTTATATCAAAATTAGGAAATATTTCATTATATACAAAACTTGTCAATAGAAAGATATCATTTGCATAACAATAAGATCAACTGAAAAAACTTTTAATAAATAAAGGTTGTGAATCTGAATTGTGACAAAGTTGATATACGAGGCGAGTGAAATTACAAAACCAGTTGTAATTATAGTGTAGGTGTTATGCGGTTATATCAATCTCGTCATCCACAACAGCATCACCGCCTTCAACTTGACTCAACTTTGCTATTATATTCCCTTGTTCTTCTTCCCAATCCCTTTTTGCCTGCTCTGCTTCCTCTTTTTCCTAATAAAACAATCAATGGTCATTAAAACTACAAATCTATTTCAGATGTGTAATAACAGTTGATGTCAAATATTATCGGAGGTTTCACCAAGTTCTGGAATAGGCGACCAAAATCTAATGCGTTTCCATAGGTTGAGAGTCCCAAAAATAAAAAGTAACCTGCTGAACAATATAAGAGGAGCAGCTGCTTAGTCAGCATCTGTTTTTTATTTAAAAAAATCCCTGACTAGACATTTGAATGTCATAATTTTGTAACATTGGACTGGGGTATCCGCATCCACCATATTAGAATCCGAATATGAAAACAATTGTGTAATATTTCCAAGATGACAGACATGATTGAAAATGAAGTTCATTTGCAAGACAGTTTGATTATAATTTTCATTTCTTACTCAGTTCTAGGCTTCACGTACCAAACGGTTAGGTAGGAAAGATGTTCAAATATGAGGATGCCGCAAAGTATGCAGTGCAACTAGAGTTACAATGCAACTGTATGCATAATTTAAAGCATCTTTGTATTAACCTAATTATTAATAAATTTCCCCAATTCAACTGCTTGGTGTATGATGAGTAAAACTGAGTAAAATGGTTACAATTAGTGGAACTCTCTCACTATGAACTTTTTCACATGACCAAGGCTGGTACAAGAATGAAAAAAAACATTCAAAGTTACATTCTTACACAAATAATAGAATCCTGAGCCATGAAGTATCTGCAAATCATGTGTTCACAAACAAATATTTGGTAAATGAGTTGTCTACACAGCTTGTCCGGAGCCGTACAGCACAAAGTAACAACTATATCAACACCAGAGTAATGTGCCACTGCTAAGCTGGATCTTTGTTGCATCAGAAATTAAGCAACAATCACAGTAGCATTTCTATACAGAATACTGTACTTTAAAAAGAATCAAAAACCTGGATCGATAGCAAATTTTCTCAAGTCAGGTGCCCAAGTTTCATAAAATTTGACAGTCTGTGTTGATTTTGCTTTGGGGGAACACTGGTCATTAAAAATAACATCCACTCTTTGATACTGATGTCACAAGAAATGAATTTTGTTCAGTTTGCAGCATTTGCTGGTTGGTCTATTCATCACTGACACAGCGACACACAACACAGAGTGCAAAATAGATCACTGCTCTTTGTGTGCACTCGTACGACCATCCAAGATAAAGTCTGGAAAACTAAAATAATAATAACGGAGTGTCATGGCCTTGCCCTGAAATTTGTGGGTATGGAGTGATATCAGTGCAGGATACAACGCAACACTTAATAACTTCCACATGAAACATCTAGACCAGGCCAAGACATTGTGATACTAATGTGACCAGCTTACCTCTCTAAGATTCCTATAGTATTCATCAATCGCGTACTGGTATTTTGGTGATGTGATGCCAAAAAACCAAGCTAACTTTTCACCCAAATACTCACATGCTGAAAGCAAAAGAAAATATACTTATCACGATTGATAAATGATTCTTAAATACATTCGACTATGGACTAGGATTTTCATACACTACACGAAAGCAAAAAACCAATATTTCAAGACGAGCCTTGGCCGTTTTCATCCTACAAGCTTAAAACATGCTTTAAACATGACTTGGCTGACATGTTTGGGCTGATTTCATTGGACATGCCTAAAACATGACTTGGCTGACATGTTTGGGCTGATTTCATTGGACATGCCTAAAACATGTTTGAGCTGAAATGCTCGGTAAGATTCAATTCAAAATGGCTGACTAATAATTTGAAATGTTTGATTTCATATGAATATGCAAATCATAAATTGTTTTACCTCCTAGTGCTCCAAATGATGCTGCTACTGTATAATACCATAAGTAAGGTCCCCATGTAAGAGTTGACTGTGGAGAAAAAACATATTTGATCAAATCAGATTTGCAACATTTACTCTAAACATACCAAGTCTCAACAGCTGTGAACTATTGAATCTTTTTCATCTTTAATAAAACATTTCAGATAAAACATACAGATGTTGTACATTTAATCACTTGCAAGGGAAGAAAGATGGCCACAGGGTTGCATTTAAATTCTTCGTAGTTTGCCGGAGAGACATTCAGTACATGTATTTCTATCTGTATTCTCCTGTATCCTGCTCAAGGAACTGCTATCCAACAGCCATACAGCTTGCTCTAGTCAAATTCAGAATTAAACAAGCCATGCATGACACAGTCCCCGTTAGTTATCGAATTTAAGATATATAGTTTTGTTTATAGTAATACAGCTGGAATATAAACATGTCAGGAATATGATTATGATGATTGTTTAACATTTAAATGATTGACATTTGTATCTGATCATCAAACGAGTATTGAGAGATATTGCTCTGGAACAGCATCAATTAAAACAAAATTAGCCATTTTGAATACATGTATAATGAATATATAAAATTTGAACATAGTCAGTCAAAGCATGTCAGAGATATGGCTCTAGAAACCCATTCATTAAAACAAAATGGCCACTAGTCAGCTATTCTGAATCCGATCTAAAAAATAAAATAACGTGCATCAGGAACCCGTAATGTCTAACGTATGTACCAAGTTTGAACGAAATCCATCCATAAAATTCCAGAAATGCATGATATTTGATGATTTGTTAGCACAAAAATGGCCACCATTCAGCCATTTTTAATATATATGTATATCTATGACATGATGTATAATGAATATTTAAAATTTGAACATAATCAGTCGAAGCAAGTCAACGATATGGCATTAAAACCACATTTATTAAAACAAAATGGCCATTTTGAATCTTATCTGAAAACAAAATGATGTGCATATGTATAATATCATGTATGATGTATGTGTGAAGTTTGATTGTGCATCAAAGTCCTATAATGTCCAACATATATACCAAGTTTGAACAAAATCCATGTGTAAACAGCCGAGAAATGCTCGATTTTGATGATTTCCAGAACAAAAATGGCCGTCATTCGGCCATCTTGAATCAGATCGTGAAACAAATTGATGTGCATATGTATAATATCATTTATGATGTATGTGTGAAGTTTGATTGTGATTGGTCCAGGCATTTCTAAGATACAGGTCCGGACGCACGCATGGACGCACAGAGGTCAAAACATAAGTCCCTGTTTTCGGACTGCGTCCGAATGTGTACTTAACAGAGTCTCTAATAAACATTCATGCATTTAAAATGATAACATAATCATAAAATAAGTAAAATGTGTTATAATGATTTGAATACATATTCACAAAACTTTTCAGGTAGACAATAGTATCTGATAGTTATCTTACTGGATCAATGAGTGGTTTTTCTTCCCATAGACAATAATATCTGATACATGTAGTTATCTTACTGGATCTATGAGTGGTTTTTCATCCCATAGACAATAATATCTTATAAATATCTTACAGGATCTATGAGTGGTTTATCTTCTTTTTCTTCTTCTTCTTCTTCATCTGTACTGTATTCTTCTATCACACCATCACTGAAGTGTATCACTCTTCTTGGCACTTTCTTCTTTCTACCTTCTTCTAAATGAATGGTTTCAAACCCTTCATCTTTTCTCTATTAGAGAATGCACGAATTTAATATCATAGCGTGAACAGTGAACAGTAAATAGCTTATTGGCATCACTAAATAACAACACAGCAAGCTGTAGTAAAGTGTGAAGCAGTTGGAATCCAAACAACATCCTCTACTCAACTTCTCCACATCAATCTGTCAAGAATCAACTAAATTTAATCGTTTTCTCATTGAATATATTTATCATTTTCCTAACGTTACATTTTTTCACTACTCAAGTATAGTATAAACAGATTTCTAGACACTTCGACCCAAATTGGACAAATTGACCCAGACACCCTGGACATCTTGACCCACCGCATCGACACGACCATATCTTAATGTGGTGGTGTTAACCTCTATCTCGTTAAATGTTAATAGTGAGGCCCTTGATAACTTAATATTCTTGTGATCTTGTAAATCACCAAGACAATAATCACGGTATCATGGTTACAGTATTAATAACTGTGCTGTATTTGAATGACCGACATGCATTGATCCAAAAACGCAAATTGACTGCCATATTGGTGTGGTTGGGTTCGGTCGGCCACATTCCAATTTGAGTTAGGATTTCAGCGGAACTTGAACTCTCACTTGTTAGCATAAACTGCATTTATTAGCGAACAAAACACTTCAAATGAAAGTGTAAACTTCTGATAATTACATAAACTTGTAGAATGCCATACAACATGATGAAAGAACAAGCAGCCTATCGGCTGAGATAGCTCCGCTGTTAGCAATGCACATTTCAATTAAAGAACTGAAGACATCATTAGAAAATGAACAATATGTATAGTATCAAAGCAATCGGACTTACAGTTTTTAACAAGTCGAAAATATCACTTTCTACCAAAAATGACCAAAATATTCACCAAAATTAGAGAATTGAAGATATCATCACGAAATGAACAAATCTAAGAAAGGTCTACATGTAGTATCTATATAGTAATATCAAAGCAATTGAACTTTTGGTTTTTAACAAGTCGAAAATATCACTTTTTACCAAAAATTACAAAAATATTCACCAAAATTAGAGAATTGAAGATACCATCACAAAATGAACAAATCTGAGAGAGGTCCACATGTACTGTAAAATCTGTATTAGAAGCCGCGGCTTCTATTAAAATGGTACAATGCAACAGAGGGGATGCGGCTTCTATTAGAGCATCTACACATATGAGAAATGATGAACTTTTGGTTCTCAATTATTCAAATAGAATGGATGCGACTTCTATTAGGGATGCGGCTTCTAATACAGATTTTACGGTAGTACCTATATATGTAATATCAAAGCAATCAGACTATTGGTTTTTTACAAGAAGTCAAAAATATCACTTTTTA